CTTTTTTTTTTCTTCTCAATAATATCCGTTTTTCTAACCCAATGTACCAATTCAACCAGTTTCTCTTGGTTGATCATATTATCGTAATTGTGTTTCTTTGCTTCATATTCTGTACATTTTCCTTTCATACAAGTTAATTAATTTACATCGCATACATGCCTATAAATATTTTAATTAAATTTTATATTGTCATATAGTAGAATTAATTATAAAAATGTATTTGCATGCTATTATAGATGGCTGAAAAAGCTGAACTTCGAATCAAATAAATCTTCATTTCATTTCATTTACAATTTGTGAGATTATCAGATTCACGTCATTTGTTTTGATTACTTTGTTTTTATAAAGAGTAACTTTCATAAACGTAATATTTGCGTGCAGTTTGCACATTCAGGTATCGCGGCCATCAATACGAGGTGGTACGACATAAAACTACTCATTTCAGGGGACTATTCCACTCCTTTTTCATTCTTTCGTGGCAAAATATCATCAGCCAAATACATGTCTACTTCTTTAATTGCTTTTGCTAAAGGTGTTATGTGGCTGGACGTGATTTCTTTTATTATATTATCAAATATAATCCAAGGACTGTACCCATCTTTTTTAGGTTCTTCTTCTGTAATGGCTGTCCAACATACTGTCGTTCTGTCATTTTCAGAAATAATTGCAGCTACGAGTTTCAGTGCTTTTTCCTTAGTACTTGTAGCATCTTTTGCATCTGAAAATGCATGTATTTTGAAACGTGGGTCTAAGAATGTGTTCAGAACTAGAGAACCCCTCTGGTCCGCTCGAAATCTATCGTTCAGCCCCGCAGTCAGTAATAAAGCGACGTCGTGAACTGGTTCCGTGAATTCAATTCGACAATTCGTTCAAGCATATAGAAAACTGAATTCCATCGTGTTTCTACTTGTTGAATGAGACGGTAACTGAACTTCGCAAGTAGATCGATAATTCATCAGAATTTGCATCATCTGATTGTGATGATTTCCAACTCTTGCTTACTAGTTTGTGATGATTATCCCGTAAGAAAAAGCTCTCGTCATGTTTTTCAGATTGATCAGAATCTGATTCGGACATTTCGACATTTTTTGTAGTATTTTTCATAAAGTCTTTAATGTTTGCGACTGCTGTAGAGCAAGTAAGTGCGTCTCTGAAGAGAATTTTTTTATACCTGGAATCCAATACAGTTGATATGGCGAGTGGAGTTACTCTCTCGATAGCGCCTATGCTTTTTTCAATTTCATTAAGCACAAACGATTTCAATTCATTGGCAAGTGAGTCTTCCAATTGGAGAGATTGGATTTTTAAAATTAAGCAATGAACTAACGGAATCACCCAGCTGCTTGTGCAGTATCTGTCCCCAGAATCTTCTTTAGTAGCAGCATCGACCCGTATTAAGACTAATAACACAGAAGAACTGACAGTTCTGATGCATTGAGCATAGGTGGCGCTGTTCTATGATGAAATATTATATAATTGATTACAATGCGTAACTCTAAAAATCTATCTATCATGTAATATGTGGTGTTCCATCTTGTTGAAACTTCTTAATTAACTTTGTTTCTTTTTCTGTGGCTTTTCTTAATTCATTGCTTTCTGTATTACTTTGCTTGAACCATGTTACAATGGTCTTGACCTTAGGTATTAGATTTTGTAATTCTGGACAATGTTGTGTCGCATTTAGCACAACTAAATTTAAAGTGTGCGCAAAAGCACGGTATGTGTTTTTTACCAAAGGCCAGGTCCGACCGCCTTAATCATAGATCCTGCGTTATCTGTTACTACAGCCGAAACTCTATTACCGTCAATGGCCCATTCAGAACAAGAATTCAGAAGCATCTGAGCAATATGATCCGAAGTGTTACGGTCAAATGACTGATATACTCCAAGAGTAATAGAAAAATATTCGATACATACACCAAAGTGACCTGTATTTCCAAGAAAGCTTCTCATTGTTTCTGTCCACATATCAGTTGTAAGTGTTATATTTTCTACACTTTTTAATTTATTTTTAAACACAGCTGATAATGTATCATATTCGTTATCAACCCAGCGAGTCAATGTTGTCTCACTTGAAAGCTTGTAATGCGGTGCAGTTACTTTCATAAGATTACGAAATTCGTCATTTTCTCTATATATGTGAATATATAATCTTATAAATGAATATATTTTAAAATACTCTGCTCTTATATATTTATTCATACTTTTTCATCTCATTCCTTATTTTCCATTGTTAGGCCTTTTTATTCTTTTTTTTTTCATAATTCTTGTACGTACTTTTATTTTTCTTGATATTTTGACCTTTAGCTAGCTTTATTTCTCTCTATTCACTTATATATTTATTTATTATGTAGAAACCGGGAATCGGAGTATTAATTCATTTCATTTATATTTCATTTCGTGATATTTATTAAGCGGCTACTTTATACCCATTTACTTGGGTATTATATTACATTTCCATTACATTCATTTTATTTTATTGATACATAAACCTTTTAAATCATACTAAATATATCAAATCTTGAGGTCAACGTTTAAGTCATTTTAAAAGGACTTCAACAATTGTCACGCAGGAAAACTAAGTTCACACTATGATCCAATGTACGAGTACCATTATTAAGGGTAACAAATTTAAGACTTCTCTGGACCCTAACAGTACTAATATGAGTACACTCGTTCACATCACTTGTACTGAAGGTATTGTTCCCTAGTACCCGTTACTCCCGAAGTTATCATCCAATCATGGAAACATACCCTGCTCGAGGACTATATGCTTTACCAGTGATGGACGTTCCCGTATCTCTCCAAACATTGTTTATTTTTCTTTCTGCTCCATAGCATTTTAGCTATTCTTTAATATTTTCATTTACAGTTATGTTTTCCATTACTTCTACATAAAGGGGAATGCCCACCGTTCATAGACACTTCGGCCATGGGTGCCCACATATCGCACATATAGTTCTTTAAAGTCATAAATGTAATTTTCTTAATTTTACAGTAGAGCACATTAAAGTTTTTTTTTTGTTATAACTGTGTTTATTAGGTTTAATGTGATATATGATTGCAAACGTTTTTTTTTCTTTGTTCATATAATGTATGATTTAAATAAAAAACCTAACATAATATTTATAAAAACATTTGAATAAATGCAAAAAACTGCAAGAACGCCACATTTGTGGCGTTCTTGCACTAAATGATTTCACTTCAATAACTTGTGACAATTATGATTATAGTATTTTTGTAAATAAAACACGAAAATAGTGAAATTAACTATTTAATTGACCATATTTATGTTACTTAAAAACTTTTTACCTAATTAAAGAAAATTTTAGGTTTTTCACTAACCGTACTAGCTGAGTTTACCATACTTATCATAATCATGGCACAGTAATCACAGAACACATTCCTTAGACATTAAATAAATAATTACAACTTATTATTAACACATTACAATGCTATTTTTAAGCATTACAAAGTCGGAGGGTAAGTGATTCAAATAATTAAGTACTTCAAATTAACTCAAAGTTTACTTATCATACCTTTGGAGAATCAGTTTCATCAACATTATAAAACTTTAGGCTAACAACGAACAAACAGTATTCTTCTTTGTAAATACAATTATTAATTAAGTAGTAGGTTTCTTATTTTTTAAGCAGATGGTGTAGCAAATTTAAAGAATAGAATTATAAAAATAGCTATATTGCTTTGGAATAATGTTATCGCGAATCAATTGTGACAAATCTTTTTTCTTCCGCTCTGAAATGGCTATTTGAGAATTGTTTGCAGGTTTCATAGCCACATTTGGAACATCGTCATTATCTCTTCGTGTTTTGCGTTCTTTTCCAGATCTGATTTTAAACTTTCGTCCAATTTTCTTCCTCATACGAAGTTTTGAGTTCATATTCATCTCGGTTCTTAAAAAAACGGATCATTCTGATTTCTGTAAGTTTAACAGCATTCCCGTCAATTCCTTCTTATAGAAATATTCATCCCTATTTCCTTACACAATGCTTTCAGATCTATGAAGTCATTGTAATTTAGTTCTTGAACTATGAAGGCCCTTCCGGATTTTTTGGCATTCCGTATAAGTTGAACATACTGGCTTGGCTCATAGATAGGGCCAGATTTTTTAGCCCTTTTAATAGCTTTTTCGATTAGGGAATAGGCATTATCACCCTCGTTCTGTGTGTGCCCACCCACAAGAAACTTGTGAGTCACCAAGTTAATATTTAGTGTCGAAACAGCGTAGTGATACATCGCAAGTATGAATCTGTAAAATAAATAAATAAGTAGTTTATTTCTAAATAGCTGTGCGCGAGTAGGTAGTATTTGCTTGTGTGTATTGTGTGTGAGTGCGTGAGTACTCGTGAATCTCTCTATAACAAAGTGGCCTAAAGGTACCTATTTTTCTGCTGATCGCAACAATTGTCTGAGTAAAAAATCACGTCACAGTTGGGCTGACATTCAGCAATATTTTTAAAAAATTCAAAAACACATGTTCCAATTTCTATAGCTTCTCGATTCCCTATGCCTTCGTGCCAAAAGAAGCATCTAGTGGTCGTATTTTTGACATCAGTCACCTGAAATGGCAATAATATATAATGTAACGCACGGAATATTATTAAATACATAAATTAACAATAATCAATAAACACTCACCGTGAAATTATAGCAGTTAATTTTGACTTGTAGAAAAAGGCCGAGCTTTCTCCAATTGAGGAGCGTTTTCACAAAACGATACATCATAAAAAAGTATATTTTTCAATAAACGGTTTTATGTGTTTATTTCTTTAAGGTTAAGAATATTTAATGAAAATTACAGTTTATTTTGTAAGTATTTTACTTAGTTATTATTAACTTACATAATAAAATACAATCAACTATAATTAACAGAAATAATGAGATCACAAAACTACGAGTTTTTTCAAAATTGATACATCTGCTGTTGATGTCTCGGTTTGATAAAAACTCCATACAAATAGTTTAGATTCCAAACCATGTTATAATACAGGTTCTTCGTCGTCGTAGTTACGTCTAATATTGTCATCGTCAGGACCAGAACTCTGAAGCACATCGTCATAAAATTCCCGAGCATCAAGGTCATCAGAAATGTCACAAAATTTAAGTAGATTTTCGACGTCTGCTTTCTTCTTTAATGAGATCATATTAGTTTTAGGTAATTGGTCACAATCGAATCTCGAAAAAGATTTAACTCTTTTCTTTTTTATTTCAGTGGTCACTGGCGCAGCAGAATATGCATCTTGAACACCAACTTCAATATTTTTTGAAACTCGTGATCCGACTTTAGTAAAGTGAATTATCCGTGTTTGGGATATCTTAAATGGTAGCTTTGTCTTTATCATTCGTTTTGCCGTGGCTTTCATGTTATAAGTATACCAATCTTTACCCCATTCGTTGACTTGTCCATGTTTTCCTAAAATTGAATAGTACTCTTTTGGCGAGACAATCACTTCACGTCGACGGTAGTCTTTTTCCACCCTTCCGAATACCCTATCAGGAGGCATAAAACTATGGCCTGGAATAGGAAAAATGTGGCTCAGTTTATTAAAAACCTTGCTAGAAGCCATGAAATTGGCTAACATAGTTAACATAATAAAGTTTTTATTCTGACTGCTGCAAGAATCTGAATACAGTTCAAGCTTCAAATCTTTTTTATTTTCTCTTAGGCATATTTCTTCCAAGTTTCTCAAATAATGTTGAAGTGCTGAAGCTATCTCATTAGCTCCTCGGCCGCTCTGATTTTCTAACCAAACATAAAACTCTATACCATCCTTGGTTTGTTTAGTTTTAGGTTTATGTTGCATTACACAAAAATTATATAGCCAAGCTTGACGAGAGTAAAATACCTCTCCAACACTTAATTTTGGTAAAGGTTGATTTTGCTGGCAATCGAAACATATTTTAATAACTTTATCATCTTCAGTATCATTCAGTAAACTAAAGAACTTTTTAGCCCTTAACTTGTGCAAGCGATATTCAGTCCGAATGTTGTTCTTCTTCTCTAAATCCTTTTCATTTTTTATTTTAATTAAAAACTCCTTGCAAGCTGAACAAGTATCTTCATGAGGGTTTCCGAAACCTAAATTAAAGTTTTTGTAAAATACTGACTTGTATTTAGACAAAGAGCACGTTTTTTCAGAAATAGACTTTTGGTTTTCTATGAATTTCTCGTACATTATTTTTAAATTCAGTTCAGGAGGTAAGTAAGATCTTGAACACTTGCTCCTAGAATAATGACTTTCTCTACATTTATACTTCATGATGTCATTTTTTATCAGATCTGTCATCTCAGCTATAGCTTCCAGCTGTTTAGCGCTCTTACCACCTCGGCGCTCTTTTGGTTGCGAACCCGTGGCCAGAAATGCATTAGCTACTCGAAGGAGACGCATTCGTTGTGTGCCTGTTATTTTTTGAAAAGTTTTCGAACAAACCTGAACTTCTGCTCCATTCTCCATAGGAACAAAATAAGCGATTGACATTTTGCGGTAGTTTACAGACTTGGTCACTTTTGATCGTCTTTTGGGGATAGAAATGCGCATGTACTTCAACAAAAATTTATCTTGGTCGATTTTTGTACTATTCAAGTATAGTTTCCGTCTAAATTCTGTAACAAGTGAAAACTTTGGCGTAAAATTTTATTAAAAAACACGTGTTTACATATATTTGAAACGTGTGTACATTTTGACAGAAATTGAAATGAGACAATATGAACTATGCATATGTGTAAGTTAAGAAAGTTAATCGGTTTGTGGTATGGTGCGTTCGCACTATACAACAACACAGGTATGTAAAGAATAGCCAAATGACTGACGCATACGCTATAACTCATGTTTTGTGCACGAACTATAACTTACTACTTATATGTTACTTATATGTTACTACGAAATATACTAGTAAAATATTACCTTTCAGATCATTGAAACTAAGTTTCAATGCCTGGCACAATGACCTTTTCTTAAAGCCTGTTATTGTTATATCTAGATGATGATCACAGTTTAAATCTGGACCGTCTTTTCCTTCTTGTGTGTATTTAGAGGTCTTCGGACTGTTGCGTTGCCGTCTAGACTTTCTTCCCCTAACAACTTCAACAACTGGCGTGTCATATTCTCCGTTATCCATGATTATTCATTAAATTTAAACTCCAAAAACGTGCGTGCTTTCTTGAGACTTACCCAATAATACTGATTTATAATGTGACGCAATAATAATAATGCCATTTTGCCAGAAAAGGATAGCAATAAAAAAGCGAATCTAGTGCGTTTGATGTATCGTCTTGAAAAATTTTGTTCGTCGTAGATGTATCACTTTGAAAAAACTAAGAAACTTTACAGTACTATATGAATAGTTTATGTATTGCTTACAGAAAATTCATTAATACTATCATGTTCAGCTATAGAAAGAGTATTCAAAAGAGCAAAAAAATAAAATTTGCTTTTTTGTTTGTTGTATTGCTTTGTAAAAACGCTCCTCAATTGGCACAGGCATAACAGCCTGGAGATCATAAATAGCAACAATTTTAGAGCTGTTAGGTTCCTTGCAAGACTTAATATCTTCTGCTTTTTCTTTTCTACTAAGTTCTTTCTGTTTTTGATGATCTTTATATCTGTCTTTTAAAGCTTCTTTTCTTCATCTAACGCATTTTTATACGATTCACTTAGGTCGCATTGATCCTTTTTAGGAGTGAAAAAAGAAATGTTAAACTCCGTATTAAATATATGTGCGTAAAACTCATATTTTGCAGCAATATTTTGGGTGGATTTTTCCTGTTTATAGTGTCTATACATTTCAGCAATATTAAGACCACCACCAAATAACTCACGGCTAGTATGAGCCCTAATATAGTGACTTTCGACTCGCGGAATTTCATTTATATGCTTACGTACGGATTGGGCGACGTCTGGGTCCAAACCAGTACCACTGCATTTTGCTTGAATAACCGTTCGTAACCTCCTTTCATCTATCCCCAACGTGCTTAATAAGAAGGTTTTGCTCACTCTTATAGGTTTACCTTCTACTAAAAATGTCAAACAGCAATTTGGTCGTCTTTCTTTTGTAACATTAATTTTCAAGCGATGCCCAGAAACATTTAGAGCTGCTACACACGTTGACAAATAATCCCATTGCCTCTGAAATGAACGAAGTCCCCAGAAATTGTCGAACAATTTTTGCCTAATCTCTGTCGTTAATTTCGTTGAGCAAGTTAATCGGCATTTATTTGAGCAGGGAGGTTTCATTTCTTTAGCTTTTACTAGTTTCCCAGTTTGAGAACTCTTTTTCAGAATTTTTTAAGAGTTTCAATTTACTTTTCTTCCATTTGGCAACATTTCGTACTCTTTTTTTTTGCCTGTTTTGATAGGTTCCGACAAAGAAGAGTTTGTAGAACTAGAAGATGAACTAGACGACGAGCTGGATGAAGATTCAGACGATGAGCCGGACGAAGAGCTAGACGAAGAAATTGATGTTGAGGAATTGGACAAAAACGCCCACGTTTAATCTTTTTTGAGGGTGCAAACTCATCTTCACTGTCAGTTCCAGCAAATGGGTCGTTTTCTTGAGAAATATCTTCGGCTTCAAAGGCGTCTTTCTTATCAGAGCATTTTTTTTTATATAGGAGAGGGGCCAAACGAGCATGCGGCTTACCTGATGGTAAGTGACTACCGTGAAAAACCGCAACACCAGGGGAATTGCAGATACGTTGCCGGCCTTTTAAAAAATAGTAGGCTCTTTTCTTGAAGGTCCCTAAGTCGTATCGGTCCGGAAAAATCGCTGGTGGTAAACTATTCCACAAGGAATTTGTGCGAGGAAGAAAACATCTTCTAAATCGCACAGTGGTGGACCGCCAATCATCCAGATGGTGTGGATGGTATCGGGAGTTCTGCCGCGATGTGCGTTCGTGAAAGTTGGCGGCTGGGATTAATCCGAACAATTCCTCAGAGCACTCCCCGTGGTAAATGCGAAAGAAAATGCAAAGAGATGCAACATCTCTTCGCAGCGCCAATGAGTCGAGCCGATCGGAAAGGACTCGGTCGTCGACGATTCGAGCCGCTCTGCGATGCGGTCAAGTGGAAGGAGCTGGCACAGAGGAGCCCCAGCCCAGAGATGGGAACAGTATTCCATGTGAGGCGGAATCTGCGCCTTGTAAAGTTGCAGGCGTTGAGCCGGCATGAAATACTGTCCCGCTCTGCTGAGCACGTCAAGCTTTTTAGAGGCCAATTTGGCCTTCTCTTCCAAGTGAGCACGAAACTGCACGTCACTCGATATGTCGACGCCGAGGATTCCGATATTGGCTGAGGCAACAATGGGAGTACCTTGAAACTGAGGAGATACGACAAAGGGGTTCTTTTTAGCGGTAAACGCGCAAACTTGTGTCTTCTGAGGATTCAACTGGATTAGAATTAGTCGCCCCCAATCCGAGACTTTGCCCAGCAAAGACTCGACTTCCGACACAAGTTTGTTCCGGTACTCGGTAACGTTTTCCCGAGAAATATTGGCACGGCCGGTGTATAGAGCATCACCAGTGCTGTCATCCGCATAGCAAGGAATGCTACCGATTTGCAGCATATCATTGATGTGCAGAAGAAACAGCGTTGTGATAGCACGCAGCCTTGTGGAACACCTGCGTTAATAGGCTTGTAGTCGGAGCACGCACCGTCTACAACGACCTTGATGCTCCGATCTGCAAGAAAGCTGGTGATTCAATTGCATAATTTCTCGGGAAGCCCATAGGAAGGGAGCTTCGAAAGAAGCACTTTGTGCTAAACCCGATCGAAGGCCATCGCAATGTCCAAACTAACGGCCAATGCCTCCCCCTTGGACTCTACTGCCACCGCCCATCTATGAGTTAAGTAGATCAGAAGATCACCAGCTGATCGACCCCGACGAAAACCGTATTGGCGGTCACTAATCAGCTGGTGATCCTCAAGGTACCGCATGAGGTGGCAGTTTATAATGGATTCCATTATTTTGGAAAACAAGGGGATCATGGCGATAGGCCTGTAGTTGGACGGGTCTGAGCGATCGCCTTTTTTAGGGATCGGGTGGACAAAAGCTGTCTTCCATGATTTCGAGACTACGCCTAGGGAGTAGGAGTACCGGAAAAATACGCGTTAGAACAGGTGCCAACTCCGGAGCACACGTCCTCAGCACAATTGGGGGGATTCCGTCAGGCCCACTCGACTTGTGGATGTCCAGGGAGAGGAGTGCTCTACGAACCGAGCGCTGTGAGAACCGCACATCCGGCATGGAGCACTCACACCGCGGGATGGTCGGCGGTGTGTTCCCCCCGTCATCAACAGTCGAGTTGGACGCAATAAGGGAGCATAAAAGGTCGGCTTTCTCTTTTGCGTCGTGGGCCGGTGAGTCGTCCTCCCTGTGCAGAGATGGTAGTGATGGCTTGTAGAAATTCCCTTGGACAGCCTTGGTGAGAGACCAGAATGCACGGGTTCCCGAAGAAAGGCGAACTAGTTTCTCGCCAATTCTGCCTATGTGCTCTGTCTTTGCCTTGGCAATAACTCTTTTGAAGGACCTGGAGGTGAAGTTATACTTCTTTTTAAGTATGCTGGTGTTTACGTCCCGAGTCGCCGAAGCCGCAGCCCAGGCTTGATAACACTCCTGCTTACTGCGTAATGCAGTCTTACAGGAGCGACCAAACCAAGGCTGAGATCTGCCTCTGATGGGTACTACAGATGATGGAATAAATAGTTCCATTCCCTGTAGCACCACATCAGTGACAGAGTCAGCAACAGCGCTGGGATCATCCGGCGAGAAGCAAACCCGCCCCCATGGGTAGGAAGCAAAGAAAGACCGCATTCCGTCCCAATCCGCCGACCTGTAATGCCAAACACGGCGGCAACCTGCAGAACGCAACCGCGAGGGGAGCGTGAGTGGCACCACACTCCGGATCAGACAATGGTCCGAAGAGCCAAGACGGGAATCGACGGAAACCTGATATCCGTCCGGATGAGAGGTCAGCAGAAGGTCCAACAGGGAAGGTGTATGATCCTCAACATCTGGAATCCGCGTAGGCGATGTAACCAGTTGTGTCAGACCATATGCCAAGGCAAAGTCATAAACAGATCTCCCCGCATGATCGGTTAAACGTGAACCGAGCCATTCGGCGTGGTGGGCGTTAAAATCGCCAAAGATCACGATCTCTGCGGATGGGACCTGTTGTAGCAAGGAATCTGTAGCCATTTGGACGTGGTCGATGAGTCGGTCTGTTTCGGCATTACCGCTATGGGACCTATAGAGGCACCCGTAGACGCGCGGATGGTCATCGCTGTCTACGCGTAGCCAAAGGATGGACAGGTCCGAACCTTCAAGACTGCCGAGGCGTCGAGAACAGATGTCCTCTCTGAAGTATACGCAAACTCCAGCCCGAGGCACAATTTGTACCCCGGGTAGGATAGATACGAAGTATCAGCCGGAGATGACACCTGCGTCTCGGTCAGAAAGAGCAAGGCCGGCTTCGCCGTCTCGAGACAGTAGTGGACGGCGTTTAGGTTTGAGTGAAGTCCCCTGATATAGCAGAAATTCACAGATAGCATGGCATGGGTCGCCTTGGTCTTGTTGCTCAGTTTGCCCCGATCAGTTATTGTGTTGAGCGGAATTTTGCGCCCCCAGAATACGCGGGCAGCCTGAGCAGCTACGCTCAGGAGTGGAATAGCAAGGTCGTGGTACTAAGCCGGCTCGAGCCGGCCCATACGTGCAACAGCAAAAGCAGCTGCGTGGCTCTACCACCGTTCAATTTTATTGAAGTAATTCTTGAATTTTACCGTAAGTATTATGTTTGGTAATATTAGCCAACACTTCCGAACACAGTGTTAAGCTTTAGGCTTTAGGCTTTTATCGAATATTTTCTTAGTGCAAGTTGGAACTGGTGACAAACACAACTCTTCATGAACATTAATATCTGAAATTAATTAAAAATTAGATGCCTTTCTTTTTATAATTTGGTAGTAAAATAAAAACATAAAAATACTTAATAAATATTAGCACACTTACTCGTACTGTCATCATTTTTTAACGGCAATAATAAAATTTGGTATTGTGTATCAATGCTTGATTGACTTTCTGTAGCTTTTCTTTTATGTTGCTTACTACTATCTTTTTTGGACTCT